GCTGGAGTCGGCCGGACCACCGACAGGACATGGGGAGCTGGAGTCGGCCGGACCGCCGAAAGGACACGGGGAGCTGGAGTCTGCCGGACCGCCGACAGGACACAGGGAACTGGAGTCGGCCGGACCGCCGACAGGACACGGGGAGCTGGAGTCGGCCGGAGCCTAGCAGGAGCGGGGAGTCGCTGCAGCCCAGCGGGAGCGGGGAGTCGCTGCGGCCCAGCGGGAGCGGGGAGTCGCTGCTTCCCAGCGGAAGCGGGGGATCGTTGCGGCCCAGCAGGAACGGAGGTCTGACCCTTCCTCTGCCTCTGCCTCCTACGAGGGTTGAAAGGGCAATCCATCTGGTCATGGTTTGCCTTCTGGACACTCCGAGACCCTCCCAAGGCCAGGTAGGTTCCCGTAAACCGTTCATACCACTCAGCAGAAAAGCGCTCAAAACGTTGGTCCGCTGAGTCCAACAAGTCCCGGTTCGCTGTCTGGACAAGGCGGTATCCCATAAACTGTTCATACCACTCAGGGTGGTCTGCTGAGTCCATTTGGGTCCTCTTAGGGGCGGCTTAGCTCACAGTTAGCTTTCTGGAAGCTCCGAGGCCCTCCCCTGGCCAAGCGGTTTCCCCAAAACTGGTCTGCTGAGTCTTTCATGGTCAGATCGTTCTGTCACGTCCGAGGGGCAGATCTGAGACTCAAGCGCAGACACAGACACAGGAGCAAACACGAGTACCAAATGCTGGAGCAGACACGAGGGAGACACAATGCAGGGACAGACAGGGGAACGAACAAGGACGTCAACCAGAACAGGGAAAGCAGGGGAGTATATATGTGTGGGGTGATGAGAAGATTGAAGGCAGCTGGGTGGACTGGTCAGGTGAGTAGGATGTGTAGCGTGAGCAGCTCCTGCCCCGTTTCTAGGCGGGGAAGTAGTTCGCACCTAACACGGTGGTTACTCCGTTGGCTGTCCCACCTGCTGAGGATATGCGTTCCTCCTTGAGGTCTCAGAACAATACCTTCGGCCTTTTATCTCACCCCGTAGCTAAATAGTTAGGATTTCGGAATTAATTGTCTTCTTGAAAGTCTTTTACGGCTAATGCCCTAGGCGCTCTCAATGGGATGTAACCCTAACACCCTGTATGTAATAGTTACTATGTACATCGTCTGTACTTTACTATTGCCTATTGTGAACATTCTCACCATTTATGACTAACACTGCCAAGTCTTCATTCAGGGAACTTACCTTAAGCTCCTCTGCATGTTTCAGTCGTCACATCTTATCGCACCATTAACGGACAGGGAAGAGGGGTACATTGTTTTAAAGGACCAGAACACTGTTTTGGTTTCAGTCACTTACTAAATGTAAGGCTGTGTTTTTATTTAAGTTTTTCACACAAGATTCACATACAACAATTTCAATTCAATGAAACAGTTACAGTGGCTACAGAACTAATTCTAGCATTCCTCTCTGTCAGCCTTCGCTGATTTTGTAATGAGGTATTCTTCAGTCAGCTCTCTGACATTCCTACTTTTATGGGGGGGTCTATCTTTCCTTTTTATGCTATCCTCTGATAGCAAAAGGGTCTTCTGTCCTCCTCTAAGTGGGTAAGACAGAAAATGGGTCTTATTTTGGCTAACTAAAGGGGTCTTATTTTGGCCATCTCTGAGGGGGTAAGAAGTCTATCCCATTCTCTGGTTGGGGTGGGGAGAAGCCCCAATCTCACAGTTTTTCTGCTGCTTTTTATGCTGCTCTAAGGCTGGCACCTCCTTCATTTCATGTGTCACTCACACATGAGTCCTCTTTCTAGAGCTGACACAGAATGTAACTGGTGGTAACTGGTTTGATCCTGCTAGAACCAGAAGCACTGTAAGGCTCAAGTGACTATTTTAAACCAAGTGTCTAACTCTAAACAGTTTATATGTTAAATCACAGCTATCATAAAATAAAACAAGTTATATTATGATGGTTATAAAAAGTGTAAACAAGCTATATGTTCAAAAGGGTTACAGGTTATAATAGTTGTACTTTTATGCTTTCATACTTTTCTACGATCTTTCTACAGATGAGTGCAATCAGGGAAAACAGACACAGAGACAGAGACACAGGAACACGGGGGAAAGCCTAAACCATGACACCTTTAAGTCACTCAAAATAGCTAAATTGTCTCTCGAGCTGTCATAGAGTAACTAGTTTGTTTTTTTCTGCTGTGCAAAGAGCGACGCAGCGTCACAGAGCTGAAACTGAAATGAATGTCAAAGACAGGTGATGCTTTGACTTGGTCGTTGCTAATGTGTCTTATAGACACAATCATCTTATAAAGTCAGTCTGGCACGGTTTTGGCTGAAATTACAACTAGAATTTGAAATGGCTGAGAGGGAAACAACAGTGTACTCTGTTAATGCAGCAGAGATGTATTAGCCTGGGGGGGGGGGGGGATTTCTACAATTAAAGCAAACATAAAGCTGCTACTGAGCCTCCTCTGTGCTGCAGCTATAGGCCAGTCGCCGTTACTCACGTCCGTTAGCTGTTTAGTTGAACAGGCAGCTGAGCGGTGAAAGACACAGATTGAGAGAAGAGGAGAGAGACTTGAGAGAGACAGAGAGGGACGAGAAACACTCTACCAGAACACCAGCTCTTGTTTCAAACCACCAGAGACCCTCCTCCACTGCCAACAAATCTACAAATTTGAACCCGAGCTTTCTGGCCGCTAATTAAGAGCGTGGTCTAAACTCAATTTATGACACCGAGCTGGCGCTCCTTGTGGCATCATAAATTAAACTGGCAAAGAGTTTTAGAATCAAAACCAAGGCCCCACTGTCCTCTGGCGAAAGCAAGAAAAAAAGTGTAAAACGTGTGTTTTCACAGGGTCGACTCTGTGACCCCTCCCTCCATTTTCTGTCATTCATTCTGTAACGGCTGAGCAGAAGGTTGAGATAAACGACAGCATCCGTTCTTCACTCAGACGACAGAAAACACTTGTTTACGTTCAAGTGACAGCGCCCTCTAGTGGCCGTAGCAATTATGACTGTAAGGTCGAGCTGGATGGATGATTCTACAAAAAAGACAATTTATTTTCATTTGTACTGCTGTTTGTACAATCACCAAGTCATTATCACTGTGAATATGGCAACAAAAGTCCCCTAAACTTAACGAGTACATTTCCTCAAAATTCTAACTTACGTACAATTTTAGAAACTTATCATCTACTACACTACAATTATTTAACTTGATCAATTACGATTTTACATAAATGTACTTGTTATACGATACTAGATGTAGCACCCGTTATGTAAAGCTGTGAGGTATAACGAGTATAACGAGCAAGAAAGTCGCTGAGAGTAGTTCTGTTTTCTTGACCGATCACTTCACAACGTTAACCTCGTGTCATTGTGCGGTTTCTGCAATGTGATACGAGGCCGATATTAAACACATTCATGAAACTTTGGTTCATTTCTTCTGGGGTTTGAAATAACTTAACGGTTCAATTTGAAAGATGTTGTGTTCTGGTGGAGAAACGCTAAATCATTTATTGTTTTAATCATTGGCCTAAAAATAAAGACTGACTGAGTTTGGCATCAACACAGTAACTTAACCCAGTATCGATGGGTTATGAGCCAGTGTTTGTGTTTTTTTATTATAATTTTGCTATTTACCCAAATCAAAATATTTCACCCATTACACGGAACAATTTTTAGTTTAATCAAATTAATTGTAAGTTAAAATTGTGTGCATTAGAGATTTAAAACAGCAAACGATACACAGATTATTAACAGTCAGTAAGGAATAGTGAGAGCTAAAGTAGATTTAACCATGTTTTAGTTTGACAGTGATGTGAAACATAAAAAGCCATTGTATTGCGTGTTTTCCTGACTTTACTGACACAATGTTTGTTTTGGTAGCTAAGTTCAAAATACTAAATATAAAAACACTGCTTATAAAATCCACATCATCAAAACCCCAAATGTCTAGACAAAATAAGGAAGATGTGTCCTAAATGCTCACTACAACCTCAATCTCATCTAAAGTACATGTAACTGTTCCAGTGCAGGACCTGAACTGGAAACAGAGTATTAAGTAAAGGATCTGAGTGTGTGTGTGTGTGTGTGTGTGTGTGTGTGTGTGTGTGTGTGTGTGATTGTGAGCTACCCTGACATCTCCTGACACCTCTCTCACCCTTTTGTTTGGACAAAGTGGAAGCCTAGAAAAGCTGCTCACTTCAAATGACATAATGCAAAGTTTTTCTTTTCTCTTTTTCTAGATGATGATGATGATGATGATGATGATGATGATGGGGGGGGGGTATTGGTTTGTGCCATGTTGTGTTATAGCTCGAGTGAGTCATCGGTGGAAAGAGGGGAGGAAGATTTGAGGAGAAATATTGCTGTTAAATGAGTTTGGACAGAATGACATCACGCTGTAATTAAAACAGCTTTCTGGAATTCCGTTTCCAATTCCTGCGCTCAGGTTTGTTGGAGGGTTTTTCGCGCACCTGCAGGTTGGTGTGTGAGTGAAATATTTTCACTGGACGGAGTTCAAACTTTGAAGGGAAAGGGGGGCAGCGGCATTACGCCATTCTTGCCTCTCTTGGAAAAAAAAAGTGTGATTTAAAGAAGTTTCTTACAAGACATCCAGCAGAGTCGCGGAGTGTTTAACGCGAGTCCGCTTCTCCTCAGACTTCTCTTGGATTTCTGCTCTTCGCGCACAGACAGGATCTCTGCAGCACTATGCTTCTTACATATGACGGATGGGGGGATAAGGGTTTGCAGGATTTGTTTCTTCAACTTATAAAACCCAGTTATATTCCACATCTTTGCTTTTACAACCTCGCATATGTCTGCAGCAGTGTGCAGACGGGAGAAGCACTTTTTATTCATTTCACCTCTGGCAGAGCGCAGAGAACACTCAGAGGATGAAAGACTCGGACCGAACAGGACTTCTTCTTTGAACCACACAGGTCAGTTGATTCTGCGGTTTATTACGATGTCGGCCTGGCAAGAGGCAAAAGGGCTTTAGGATGAAAGCTGTGAAGCGTCTCTCTCTTCTGCTGAGCTGCTGGACTCTTATTTACCTGCATCCCGTCCTCGGTTCGCTCAGCCGGACCAGACCGACCGAGCACCACCAGCACCACCGGCTTGGAGAGGCAGCGGAGCGCGCGGCAGGCGTCGGGGAAGGAGAGCAAGCCCACGGAAGAGCCGGCAGAGGAATCGGTGGCTCATCAGCAGCAGCCGCGAGCAGGCAACCGGTGACCGCTTCTGGGACGTGGAAACCGTCACCGGTGAGTCCGGCGAGGATTACGCGGATCCGCGCAGAGCCTCCGTTAATCAAGAGCGAGACGACTGTTATTAAAAGCAAACGTACTGCGTCTTCCGTGCCGGCGAACCGGGCACAGCTGCAGCAGCAACAGCGGGACCGACCAGTCATCTTAGGGCGCAAAGAGGCCGTGCGCTCCTGGCTGCCCGGCGGGGACGCTCAAATTAAAGCGCACGCTCCCGGGGCTTTTAGCGCACATGCAGCAGGGAAGGGAGCCGGGACTGCGGCTGCTGGGGGTGGAGGTGTTGGCTCACAGGGGAAAAAATTGGGGAAAGTTGCTTCCAGAGCGAGTGCAGCTGCTCCAGTGCGCACGGGACCTCCCCAGAGAGCCACCCGTGCGCAAAAGCAGCAGCAGCAGCAGCAGCAGAACGCGGCTCCGCTGGCGCAGCGGGGAGTCAGCAGCAAGGCCCACAAACTGAGCGACCGGGAAGCGCATCAGAGACAGCCGCTGGTCATTCCTCACGACTACATGCTGTCGCTTTACTGGTCTCTGTCCACCGGGGACCTGAACAGTAGCGCTCTGCACGAAGCGGGTCTGGCCAACACCATCACCAGCTTCGTGGATAAAGGACAAGGTAACCACACCACCGCTTCTCCTCGTGTGTTCTGACAGCAGGTTCTGAAGCTGTTCGAGTCTTTAAATCACACATTTTGTCACATAAGATAGTTCCATTCAACATGTTGTCGGGTTATTCCTCTTTATTGAGCAACGTGTGGCTCTAAAATCACTTTACATTCCACATAGAACAAATGTTTCTTTCAACTTTAGCTGAACACAAATTGTATTCCTGCAAGGAACTGATTGAATGTTACACATATTTATTCTGTTTACATAAGGAAAACTCTCTCACTTCTCATATATTATCTTTAAATGTCTCTCATTTGGAATATTGGAAGTGAAAGCGCTTCCTTCTTGCTCCAGTCTTACTTTACTTTAACATGTGATGATCTGAGGGCTTAAAAAGCAACCGTGAAGCCGTACATCACCTCATGATTATTGTTCCTGGGGTTAGAAACATGATGAAGGTTGTGAAGGTGGAGGAGGGTTCTGGGTGTTTGGTATCTGCGCTGTGTGGAGAGGAGACTGGAGGTTACTAGAGGAGGCCGGCGCAGGAAGCAGGGCTGTAAATTGTCGGAGTTGTGGACATGTCTCTGTTGGAGAGTCCATGAGGTGAGAGAGTTGGAGCATCTGGAAGTGGAGTCAAGAACGATGGGAAAACAGACGACTCTGTTACTCATAACTGCGCTGGAACTGACTTCAAAGCTGCTGCGAGCTGAGTGAGCCATCGAGCAGCTAGATGTCATTGATACCAATCTGTAGGCTCAGTATATAGCTGGAGCCAGTTAGCTTAGCATAATGACTGTAAACAAGGGGAAACAGCTAGCCTTGCTCTGTTCAAAGGCAAAAGAACCCACCAATAACACTTATAACGTATCAATTAGTGAACTTTACGTCTCTTTGTTCATGACAAACCAAAGTGTACAAACATCAGTTTTTGGTTATGTTCATGATCAGACTTAATGTTTTCACCTCTTCTATACTAAACAGTCGATGTGTAACGTGTTGGTGAGCTGAGTTGCTGTTCGGTGGATTTTGTGATCTCAGGCTGTTTCCCTCTGTTTCCAGTCTTTATGCTAAGCTAAGCTAAGAAGCTGCGTTCCACGGCTTCATCAATCTTATCGTGCAATTTTCCAAATTTAATGAAGATTTGCTGAGTTTTTGACTCAATTCTTCCCCTGAACTTTAATTCTGCACGCTTCTTATTCAGTCATGAATATTTCATATGATGGATTGGGCCCAGGGTCCCCTGAACATACATGTACATGTGTATTTATTTATACTTACATATTTCTGTACGTGTGCAGTTGCGTTATGGTTTCTGTGTGTTTCTAGCCATCTGGTCATTCACTGGCAGCACTGCTGCTGTCAGTGATCTACGGCCTCAGGAGGGTAAATAAACACTCCTCACACCCACAAGTAGGGTGGCCCCCCTGTGTAATGTTGTCTTTACGGTGTAAAACTGTTTAAAACAATGTTTAAATGACTAAAGTTTAATATTTCTAGCCCAGCTAAAGGTTTACATTTCAAGCACTTAATGTACTTTTAATTTGGGCTTTATTTGTGTAGTGTGTCCTCAGCAAATGGCCGGTGACCTCCTCCGCATGGTGAGGGGGTGAGCGAAGGTGTAACTGATGGCCTGACACATCTCTCCCCCCTCACTTGTTCACACTTCCCCGTTTCTTTCTTTGCCTTTCTACCTCTCCTATATTTCGTCACGTGTTTCTCGGATGGTTTTCATGCTTTCAGATCAGTTGAAGAAGGAAAGAAAGCAGAGACAAAATGAATAAGGGAGGACAGAAAAGAAACGTACAGGAAGGAAAACTATTTTATATTATTTTGTTCACGTATCAATGAGAGTGGGCTGAATAACAGAAACACCTCAACGTCACCTGTTTCCTGTGAAGCCGAGGTTTATATTGAAAACACTGTCTGCATATAACGAGCAGAAAGTCACACAAGTTGCTGGACTTCTTTATGAAAACGCACCAAAAATGAGGACTAACTTTTTTGTAAGATATCATACGAACCGTCGTATGAGGACACGTCCAGTTCAACTGCTGCAAAAACTGAAGTTTTACTATAAAGAGACCGGCTCTGCTGCGGAATTATTTCCCACCACCTCTCGCAGCTCATGACTTTGCATCCTTCTTTACAAACACGGTGAAAGTGGCCAGTTAACAGAACCAACCAGCTGCAATGCCTGTCCACCGACTGAGGGGGCATCAAGCAAGAAGGGACGTTTGAGTCCTACATCACTGAGCGGTCATTCAAAGCCATTTGGCAAGCAGAACAGTCCAAGCGTCACTTTCTTTCCACTGGGGTACCACAAGGACCTGTGCCTGGTCCCCTGCTCTTCTCAATGTACACCACCTGCTGCGGCGTGATTATCCACTCACTGCTATGCTGATGATACCCAGCTCTATCTGTCCGGACCAGGAGGCAACCTCCGGTCAAACACATGAGCCAAATGCAGCACCGTCAACCCCGATATCTAAACACACACATTAGCCTTGTTAACAACAGACAACACAAAACTCTCACCTTCACTACTAGAACGTCCTTCTGTCAGGGCTGCCAGCATGGACAACTTCAGAATCAGCTCTATTGGCCATGTGTGCGTACGCATAAGGAATGTGACTCCGGTTTTCACTTTGCTCTCAACAAGGTTAGAAATAAACAAGAAAAAATATAAAAATTAAACAAGGACAACAAAAAAAGTAGAACGGATGTAAGTACAAACATTTAAAGACTATGTACAATATAAATATAAATATATATCCCAAAGTATATATATATATGAACATAGACCTATACAACAACAATGACAGAGGAATTGAGGTGATGGAGCAAATGGAGGAACTTCTGTAAATAGTTTAAAATGCAGCATCAACCAAAAACAGCTCGTCCATTGCCCTCCACTGGCTCCCTGTTGCTTCTTGCATTCAGTTTAAGTCACTGATGCTTTCCGATAGAGGGGCCACTAGCGCGGCGCCGCCTACCCAAGGTCCCTCGTTCAGGTTTATGAGCCTTCTCGTTCACTACGTTCTGCAAATAAATGAGCGCGACCTCCACAGTGAGGAATGTAAGTCTCAATCTAAACTCGTCAGCAAGAAATAACACTCAGAGTACTTACTCACATAATACGCTCGTTTTCTCTCCATCTCTTGACACTTGCTCTTTCTCAAAATAAGAAAAAAAAGTTAGATGCTAGTTACTTCTAGTCTTGTGCCGAGTGCACAATTAACGTAGTTTTGAGACAGTTCCACTCGAAGGCTTCTCCTTTAACTACTGTGGCTTGGATTGAACCTCATTTGCATGCAGCTTTCGAGCAAAGCTTCAGCAAAAGGAATAAATTACAATTCCTCATGAATATAGGATTCATTGTGGGACTGTTGTATTAGATGATAAACTGGTAATTGAGTGCGGATACTGATCACTTAATAATTCCAGTTTGACTTTAAAACGAACCCTGAACAGTTCATCTGAACTTACACTTCCACCCTTTGTTTTTAAACTACGTGACTCTCAGTTTGAGCTTTAATCAGATCTTCCACAGAGAAGTGCCAGGATGTGTGTGTGTGTGTGTGTGTTGTCGATGGTTTGTTTCCTCTACAGCAGATGCTGGTTAACTGTCTATCGGCAGTTAAATAGCTGCAGGTCCATAATAACAGGCCTGTTTACAGTCCACTGTGGTCTCCCTGTCTGGTTCTAATGTACTTTTCAATGCATGCTTAAGTCCTGGATGGGAAGGAGAGGATAACGTGAGAAGAAGCGAGCAGAGTGGGAAGATCTGCTGCTGCTGTGTGTGTGTGTGTGTGTGTGTGTGTGTGTGTGTGTGTGTGTGAGTGGATTTCATTGCTGGATTCCATTTAGACATGGAAGTTCACTGGCTTCCCTCACCGACAACAAATGAAAACATTACACACCATTCAGTCCATTCCTGCTGATGTTTTTGTGCTTATGTGTTTGCATATGTGTGTGTGTGTAAGTGTGTGTGTGTGTGTGTGTGTTTGCATTAGAGCTACAACCAACGACCACATTCACCACAGCCCAAGGTGAAGTTTTCAAACGTCCAAAACCAAAAGATATTCATCATGTATGACACAGAAAAGCATGACATCATCCTCATCGGAGGATCGGAACCAGTAAATATTTTGAAAAAGTTTAGCTTGAGAAGGAATAAAAAGTTGCAGATACATTTTCTGTTAATTGACTGATCGATCAGTTGGCTAATCTTTGCAGTCTTTGTATGTGTATGTCTTTGCAGCTATATGCGCATGTGTGTATTTACATCTGTTTGCACCTTCACTCTTTATGTGTGTTCGTGTAAATCGTCCACTTCCGTGTGTGTGTGTGTGGTTGCCTGTCTGTCAGTTGGAACTCTTATGTCTGTGTCTTTGTCCTCCCTCACAGACGAGCGTGGGCCACAGCTCAGACGGCAGAGGTATCACTTCAACATCAGCTCTCTGGAACGAGACGGGCTCCTGGGGGCCGAGGTACGCATCCTGAGGAAGCGCCTGTCTGAACCCCGGAGGGCCTCAATGGGATCCACAGCCGCTGACGGAGGCGGTGGAGGAATCTCGTCCCCGTGCCTGAAGCTGTACACCTGCGCTTCAGGTAAACAATTGGCTGTTCTGCTCCAGACGAAGACCACGGAGGATCTGCTCGGCGGGGGCGGTTTCGGCGGCAAATGGGAAGTGTTTGATGTATGGAAAATCTTCAAGGGCTTCAAAACCCAGCAGAACCAGCACTCCCAGCAGCTGTGCTTTGACCTCGAGGCCCTGGAGCACAGAGGCGGTCGCTCCGTGGACCTGCGCACTCTGGGGTTCGCCCGACCCGGCAGGACCAACAAGGAAAAGGCATTCTTCCTGGCGTTTGGCAAAAGCAAGAAGCGCGACCTTTTCTATAATGAGATCAAAGCGCGGTCAGGCCATGACAACAAAACCGTCTATGAATACCTGTTCACCCAGCGCCGAATGCGGCGAGCTCCTGCTTCGAGGGCGGCTAAAAAACCTCTGCAGCAGCCGCCGCCACCGCTACAGACCCTCCCCCAACACCAGGTCGTGAAGATGCAGACGAGGCCGCGGTGTCACCGAAGAAGACTCCATGTGAACTTCAAAGAGATGGGCTGGGACGACTGGATCATCGCGCCACTGGAGTACGAGGCCTTTCACTGCGACGGCGTCTGCGACTTCCCCATCCGATCGCACCTGGAGCCGACCAACCACGCCATCATACAGACCCTGATGAATTCAATGGACCCGGAGTCGACGCCGCCCACCTGCTGCGTCCCAACTCGACTCAGCCCAATCAGCATACTCTACATCGACTCGGCCAATAACGTCGTCTACAAGCAGTACGAGGACATGGTGGTGGAGACGTGTGGCTGCAGGTAGCAAAGGAAGGTGGGACAAAGAGCAAGACAGAAAGAAAGACATGTCCTGCCCTCCACTTTGAGGGAAGATAGACATGTTTGATCAAAACGGCTCGTTTCAGCTGATTGTGATCCAGCTCACTGCTATGCAACAGACATTACTCTTCACACTCAAGTGGACAATCAGACTGCATACCAAAAGACTGCTAGACGCTGTTAAAGACTAAACAGAGAACGATGAACTAGTTGGGGGATGCTCTATAACAGCCACTCTCTAAAACTTAAGTATGATGTTGATGGCGGTGAGGAAGATGCAGCCGAGAGGAGCCAAAAAACAACCAGAGTCACTTTTGGACTAAAGTTCTGATCTCATATTAGACTACAACAGATTGTAACTGCTTTTGTTTGCTCTCTTCAGATTTGTATCTGTGTTCTGATTGGTGTAAAAAGTTTCTGTGTAACAGAAATGCTATTGAAACATTAGAGAATTATACTCAAAAATGCCCTTTTTCCAGCACTTATCTGCCATTGTGCCTTTGTCCATTCAGATGCATCAATGAAGAGTCATTTGTGAGTCTTATCCGAGACTTTTTATGAAGCATGCGAAGAATTTCTGATGTATAAATACAGGCCAGTGATGAAGTGCAAATTTGACCTGTTCCAAATGTGGGAAAGTTGCATAAACTACTCTTCAATAAAAAATGTCTAATTGTCTGAGCTCCAAACTCCTATCAGTCCGAACCTCTGCCCCCCAGACTCTGTAGACTAAACTATCAACGGAATTCACAAGACTCTCAGAAGCCAAATCACAATTTAACCCGAGAGTGTCTGTGTTTGGTTTGGTTTGAAGTGTTTTTGAGGTCCTGTTTTAAAACGCTGCAAGTTTGGTGGACAGTTCCAAGAAGTTGGTTTTTGGTCTCAATTCTTATGCATAATCATATCAAGCTTGTTATTAGGCACGTAGATTAACTTGTTCTTTCATCAGTCAGAAGAAGTGGTTGCTTCTTCGGTCAGTTGTCCTGTTTATTAGATACGCAACTGTCTGAGTGACATGCCCGGGAGCCAGTCAGGAGCTCTAATAGAAATTAAACCAAAAGGGGAAAGAGAAATAAGATGGAGACAGGACACGACAGGTCTAAAATCTGTGTGCAATTAATATGGATGTATTTTTTTTCCAGTTTATTCCTTTTTCAAAACATTTTTTAATCACATTTTGTCACCATCAGCAATGTCAGTACCAGTAAAACAGGTCAGCATCAGGTATTTCCTGCTGCGCCTTGAACTCTAAGCAACCACAAGAATCTCTACAGAAGTAAACCTGCACCAGGCAAGTGCTCATAGTTTGAGGTTGTAAACAGCAATGACAGCATGAATGTTTCAACATTATTTGAACAAACCTAGAAAAAGGTGATGTCTTTAGATTGTGCACATCCATGAAGCTCAATTCAAAAGGGACGGTGTCTCAGTTCAGCCATTGCATCTCTCTTTCAGAACTACACTGTAGATATAATTAATTAAACTGATGTACACAGTGTCATTCCAAGGTAGAGACACCAACTCTTTCTTAAGAGTCAGGACCCTTTTTCCCTGAACACAGTCCATTTAAAACACACCAACAGACTCCTGAAGTCCCATCAGACACAACCTCACGTCCTGTTTGTGGACCCTGACCTGCAGGTTGAGGCCCTGATCTGACGTTTTAGTAGTCTAGAGCGGCTTTTTACAAATGTTTCAATGAGAGTGAAGCGTTTTGCATGCTCACGTTTTCCACTCCATGCACCTCACGTTTTTGCAGGAGTGCTCCTGAACGACTCAAGTTGAAAATAATGAATCTCAGAGTGGGAAAAGCACCCGACGTGATTACCGTTTTTACTCTCACTGTGGTGACTTGATACCTGGAGCTACGAGACTTTACCAACCGTGGTTACCACGATCTGAACAGAAAACAGCAAGGGGCAAATTAGTGCGGTACTTGAGTGAAAGTTGATTATGTAAATCGATTTAATTTAATTCCGATAGCGTAGTTAGCGAACAGTTCATGGTGTTAAGCTAACGTTAGCAATTATACAGTGGTTGCCTAGCAGCAATTAGAGAAAAAAGGTGCAGCAAACTGCCAAAACACGATCTTTCTGATTGGGCTAATCAGAAAGGGCTAATCGTGCTAAGAACTCTTGTCCTAACCTTTTATCATAAACTCAGGGTTTTATATAAAAAACCTGACAATCTATAAAGCCGTACAGACAAATACAGCTTTATTGTTGCTTTGTAACACAGAAGAAGGCAGCAGCACTTCTCTGTCTGTGTTTCAGAGAGTCACCTGTCTGCCTGCCCCTTGTAAAGCTCCCCAACCATTGGACGGAGCCATCTGCACCGAGCGAATGGCTTGTTACTCCTGGAGACGGAGTGATGTAAGCATTTCCTTTAATCACAGCGAAGGCATGCCAGTGGTATTACCCCCCTCGCTCTAAACCTGAACTGACAAGGCGAAGGTGGGGAGAGGCTGAGCAGACTGGACTTAAACAACTTTAAAGAATGCAGCTGCTAGCTCCAAACCAGGAATCTTGGATTATAAAATGTCAACGTGCAGAGCCTTTGAGGAAGTTTCTGATTAGATATATAACGACAGACGGGATCTTGGGAAAACCAGCACTGTTCAGTTTGTGTTTTAATCCCAGAGCTACTCATTTGTCTTCAGGACACAAGCTGAGTTTGGAAAACACTCGTTGCAACCAGGAAGTGATGTGTCCTGCAGCAGCTATTAACAGATAATAAAAACATTGTTTTTTAAATGATACTTTATGATACTTTATCCCTTCTAGAGATGTAAAACTTCAGATTTATACTTTGTTTATGTTGGCTTTGAATCAAATGATAAATATGTTTGTTTAAAGCCGGTGATTTATAGCGCTTGTAATTTGTGTGTTGGTTAACAATCAGCTCATTCTTTTTAGGGAAGGAACCCATTCACTCACACTTGACAGACCCAGATTTAGCTGTGTACAACAAATGCCAGTTACAGATAAGAAGTACTAGCAGTGTTATCTTTTTCTCAGCCTGAGACCCACTTTAAAAAACCCAGGCCAAACCGATGTCCACGTGAACGTATCGCTTATTTAGTATATTAAAAAAAAATACTTGATTTAGAAAGATATGAGCTTTGCCATATAGATATAAGATCACTGGTACATTTCAAGTCGTTTTACTTTTGTATGACAAAGTCCAATGTCATGCTTAAAGTTCCGTGAGACTTTGAGCTAAATGCAAATATTGGCACGGTAACATGCTCAAAATGATAAAGCTAACATGCTGATGCTAAGCAGGTATGATGTTCACCATCTAAGTTTTGCATGTTAACATGCTAATGTTTGCATTATAGCTCAAAGCGTCCCTAAAGCTGATGAGAAGGTCAGTAGTTTTGCACATATTTGGTCATAAACCAAATTATTTTGAGCTGATAATGGGATGAAATTAAGTTCAACTTCTTTATTTGTCATATGCACAAAAATTACTGAGAGCAGCCGTTAGCAATGGGAATCTTAAGTCTCAGGCACCTTCCACTAATGCAGATTAAATATGTATATAAAAAAAATAAGATCACCAAGTAAAAACAAAATGATAATCTAAACATAAAATTGTGCAAGTTAAAAAAAGGGATGGCTTAATAACATGAATAAAATATAAACAAAGTCATTTAAATTAGATACAAATTAAAAGTAATTACAATTTAACCTGATAGGAACATTAATGTCTGAATCAAATTTGATGGCAAATGTTCTTGAGATATTTCAATCTGGACCAAAGTGAGGCACCGACAGATCGGCAATACCATCAAGTCTAACGCTGCCATAAGAAACTCAAAGTACTCAAAATCAGAAAGCTGCAAACACCTGCAAGATGAGCTGCAATCATTTTTTATTTACTATATTTGTCTGTATTAAGAAAACTAACAGATATCACCATGAAACCAACCCAGTTCATAACTTGCTTTATGTTTTTGTATTCCAAGTTTTCTGAAATTATATGTTTTAATATACAAATGATGTTTCATCTAATGGTGAATTTGGGAGAAGTTGACAGACGCAAATGGACAAAGTAGTGAAATAAATAGCTAAATGTGTATTTTGGATGTTTTCTTTCATCTAATATGAAAGAACAAATGTTATTGAAGCAAAATAGATTACATCTTAAAATTGACCAGTGCATGAAAAAGACTTATTTTTTTTGCCTTGAGTGTCGATCTTCCCCTTAAATTGTCACGTTTCAACAATCTTACTCAAAATCCTTCAAAGAGCTTCCAAAGTTGTAGTCACAGAAATTCCTGAAGTCACTATCAAGTCAAACTTCATGGCTGCTACTGCGGCGCTGTAAGTCCTAACAAGTTGAAGGAGGTATTGAGGTAGAGTGTTGTTAAATGCACATTGGGAAACAGTGTTCCCCACAAAGACAGCGCCTGGCTTTAATTATCACACATTTCCACACATTAGCCCATCTGAGATACAGGCACTGGATTATACAAACAGCTGATTTAAATCTCCACGTATGATTTATGGTGACTGATATTTCCTATGATTTATGACGGTGTAAGAGTGTGCTGGCTCGACAGGAAATGAAACATAATTGGAAAATTGACTTCACGGTATGCTTTCTGTTATGTTTTTTCCTCTTATCATGGAATAGGATTGTTTAGAAGGAGGGGAAGCACAATGGCTTGGAAGAGAGGCTCTTGTTGGGTCCGTAAGAAAACCTTTTTGAAGACAGTTCTTGTTTTCTAAATTAACAATAAGCTCTTTGTTTTAGCTATTATCTGTTATCCTTCTAATGAAATCAAAACATGGCACAAGAGTTTACTGTACTTTATAAAGTTTTTACTAACTTAATGAAACAACTTGTCTTGACCTCTAACCTCCAGTCCTCCACATTAAATACACATGTAATCATTTTATTCTCCTTATGGTTAAGGTTTGGTTGGTTGAGTCACAAAAACAACTTGGTTGGGGAACGATCAAAAATCAACATTGTTGTAGTAATATTTCAACATTTTGGCAAGTACACTTATTCTTTTTTTTTCTGTATGTAAATATTAAACTACCACAATTAGGCAGTTAGCTTAGCTTAGCACAAATACTA